GAGACAGATCTGGAAACCGTACAGCCTAGAACAGCAGTCGAATACCCTGTGTATCGAGGAAGGTCAGAACACGATGTGCAACATGTAATCTTGCATTATCTTGTTAAAATATGGCGTTTGGCGCCTGGAACATAAGGCACAATCACTGTACGTAATGTGTCAGAAATGCACCCATCTGCGTTCAAATTACCGTCGATACGAATTAGAGATGTGCGTGTCGTGTACCCAGTGATTGCCTAAACAATCACGCCAGGCCCAGAGCCACTATGACGATATCGAATGAAAGCAGCCGACGTGTGGTCTCCTCGAACACTCCAGACACGTATACGGCCATCAGAATACTGCACGTAGAACCGGGACTCGCTTAAAAGGCGATATTGTGCCACTCCTGTACCCAGCTTTGTCATTTGGCGCATCAGAGTGAATGTCTCTCTTTATGCTGAATTGCCAAGGAAAGCCTAAATAATGGTCACCCTGCTGATGGTCCACGCTGCTGCAAACGTCGATGCACCTTAACGAGCTGACCTCACAATATGTCTATCCTTTCTGGCGTTAGTCATGGAAGGGCTTTGAGATCCTGCATGCCGTTCAGTATGATCCTCAGCAATCCATTGATTCCATATTCGCATGACAGTGGTTAGATGTCGGCCAGTGTGACGGGCGATATCACGGAACGATAATCCACACTTTTGATAGGCAGCTATCCTGCCTCCATCGAATTCCGACACTTGCTGGTAAGCATTTCTTCTTATTATTCGAGGCATAAGGCGATATTTTGAGGAAACTCCGAAAAAAGCGCTTTCCGAATAAGAAATCCATTACACAACTTTTTTTTTATGCAGTGCATCAGATGTCGTTTCTCTGTCTTGCATCATCTAAATGCGCTGAAACACTAATCATTTGCATTTCCCAACCTCTTCTTCCTTTCATGTGATTTTGATGTTCGTCAGATCATTTCTTTCTGGTGTTGCAATTTTAATGGCAAAGAATGTAGAATTCACAATTTTAGTATGTATAACGAATCAATTACCAGGTCTCTATTCATTCATTGTTATATTTTGCATTAAATATTTTCTTCCCAACGTAATATAATTTATTACCTAGAAACGTCATGTAGAGAAACATGAGCTTTCTTGTTTAAGTGCTTCTTGATGTTTTCCCTTTATTTAACATTTCCCAAAGGCATCCTTATCTTTAGCCACATAGTCATTGTATGTTTCATTGTATTCAAATAACCTAACCTAACTGCACAAGACATGTTAAGTCGCTCAATTGCTAGAGCATTATGCAATTCATTGTTATTTGCTTGTTCTATGTAGTTTTTTGTTTTACCACATCTGATTTATGTGAGCAAATTCGCAATAAAAAAAACTTTCTATGTTTCAAAATATCACATTTCAGCGACAAAAATCCATGGCGATAAAAATATTGCATTTATTACTGAACATTTTGCAAAAAATCTCTTAAAGTGTATGGAGGGGAGGGGGAGATAATAGTGGCTTGTATTTGTTGTATATGGGTATGATTTCAAAAAGTACAAATTCATAAAATACAGCACAAAGTCCGAAATCCGGACTCATCGGGACTTCGGCGATTCCGAATTTGGGATTTTGCCAGATATCAGATCATCAGTTTAAATCTAGTAAGATGGTATGTAGAACTTATAAAATTAAAAATATGAAATCCTGATTTATGAAATAATGAAGTATTTATGATCTAAAGGGTATCAAAATTTGCAAAAAAAAGCTTAATATTTATTTGTTTATCTTATTAAACATTTCCTTCTATGGAAGTTGTTTCGTTTTTGTGCTAATACTTTCTCTTTAATTCTGTAGACAGGCATAATCTCTTGTTTAGTTTCATTATTGAAGTCCTGTAGCAGCTATTTCGAGAATTCGGACTATCTTGTCAATCGAAATTTTTTCGTTTTCAGTAACTTCTCTGTCACTTTCTTCACTGTCGGTAGCCGTATTTTCTGGATCTAGAACCATGCTACACATTTCGCCATTCATTAATTGATTGATGATTGAAAAGCATTGTCATCACAATGAAAAACTTCTTTTATGCCATCTTCATTTATTACCGCTTTCCCACATTTCTTTGTAAAATCCGTTAATTGGAAAATTTCACCTTTTGTTTTGCGATATCCGAAAACCTTTAAAATTAGCGGCTATCATCATCAAATTTAGCTATCCTTCACTATACATATTTGGCTATGCATCATGAGCTTGACGGCTAAAGACAAGTTATTCCGTTAAATTTTATCGTGCTTCTATCGCGCACTGAGACAAATTAAGCCTGAATTGTATTAGTTTAGTTATTTGTTACACTTATGTCTATTTCTTGCACATGCTTAAGGCTTTTCAGTATTCTGAATAAATAAAATCCCACATATATTTAAGCCTTATCGAGGGCCGTCGCTAGATATCTTAACCCCTGATGCAGTCTCTCTGGGTCCTGTATTCTGCGACTTTATGCGGCTATACGAGCCCTGGCGCTGGTTCTGGGTTTATGTGAATAACAAATCAGTTATTCTTAATTCAAATAGCCCTAAATGTAATCTCTGGGTCTATGAGTATCATCAACAAAATCTATTTTTAACATGAGGAAAGAAATTTTTGGTAAATTTTTTCCTCGTCAACATTTTTTAGTGCATTTAGCTAGCTTAAATCTGTAATCATTGCCAAGCGTAATGTCAACATAGAAAGTTACCATACTTCTTTATTATTCAATTACTAAAATATGAAAGAATGTTTAGGCATCGCTACATGAGTCATTACTCGAGTTGTCATGTGTTGATAAACATGCGGTGATGAAAGAAAAGTATAATAAATAATGATTCGTTAGGTTGGCATCAGATCAACAATGTATCTATGTGGAATGCTTCGGTTTGAGATATGTGCCAAGCAGATACGCAACAACGGAGCCAAATTACTGATTGTACAAATTTATGCTAAAATAGTTGTTTCTTCAAGAACAAGGTATTTTATTTAGTGTCGAAGTGAAATTAAGAATCGGGACTCTCCAGATGTTTTATTATGCTCGGAGGGAGAAATCAAATCAATCAATCAAATCAAAGCCTACGAGAGAAACCTTGTTGGTGGTTTTGAGGTTCAGATTTTAGATCATTCCGGATAATGGACGTCCGGATTTCGGACTTTGTACTGTAATCTAATAATAACCCCGTTTGGTAGCACATGTGCCCACCTTAGGTCGGGGTCCACCCCTCTTTCAATCGAGCTGTACTCTGATATTGTACTCCGCATAATACACTTAAAAACCTTTTTGGTCAGCAGTTAAAGGTATTTGCCCACCTTTACTCTGGGACGCTCTTTCTTTTAATTGCAGGAACTTTTGGGGTATCGCTGTAAAGCTTGCATTTCGGTTAGAGGTGACTACATACCTTAATTTCTTTACATTTTTAAATTTTATCTTTATAAAGTTGTAATGCCAACTTTTCCATAGTCCGGTTTATATCATATTTCATATGTTTTTGATTTAGTTTTTTTCATAGAAATAGGTAATTCCGCTTGTTGAAGATGTATATGGCATCAGGCATGAAACAATAGATTTTGTGCACGTTCCACGTTCTTAGTAGCAAAATTATTCAATTTACATAACTTTTTGTAGTTATTACTTTAATATTTTCTACCTGTGTCTATGTTTACTTCCAAAACAGTTAAAGTAGTTTGTTAAACATACAGCATAGAACAAACTGTAGCTAAAATGGACAATTTATATGAATTTTATTCAGATGCTTAATTTTTATAAAACCAATCATACTAAGAGAAAGTAGTATATAGCTCAACGTTTCTCAATCTGTGGTCCTCCTAGATTTTCAAAAATAATTTTAATTGTATGTACCACACTACAGTTGAAAAATCTCAGAATCTGAAAATTACGCGCGACAGTTCTATTAAAAAGTGCTCCCAAGACCGATATTTTATGAAACTTATTACTGCTTATCCTACTTATGGACTATTTATTACTGCTTATCCTACCTATGGACTCGTTCTAGTCTTAGGAACAAAGAAGGGATTTAAAGCAGTTTGATTGTAGTGCTTGCTTTTAGCCATCGTTTCGCTGGATATCTTGTGTCGCTGATGTCATTATCAGTGAAAACGGGACATAATGAACTGTAGAATCGTGCTTTAAAATTACCATTCGGTTTGCTTCTATGTATTATCTGTATGAAAAAGGGTTTTACTTACCAGCTGGTATAGAAATAAAATATTAAATCGACTGTGCCGATCGACTTAATCTTACCTGCATACATCGAAAAGTGGAATATATATGCAAGAACAGGTAGGTTCATCCTGTCATTAACGTGAGCACTAACATTTATTTCATTTTTAGTTAAATGGTTAAGTTTATCGTAACTGTAACAGCCTTAAAGTTAATTTTCTTAAATCTACTTGAAATAAAATTAAATGAATTTTAATTAATTGTATTTATAAAAAAATATATATTGGTAGTAAATATGCTAAAAATTGCTTTCGAAGGGGAACAAGAGTATAGTGGTCCACAGAACATTTTAATTTATAAAAGTGGTCTCCACTTGGAAAAAGTTTGAGAAACACTGATATAGATGATTCTTCTCTTTATATCGAAGTAAAATATTTCAGAAGCATATAAGTAATTTAGAACTTGGTTAATTTGATAAAGACCGAGAGGGCTACCTGCTTAAGAGGAAAAATACCTTCGTGAAAGATTTTCTGCAGGAAATAGACTCACATTCATATTAAGATACGGGTAAAACCACGAAATTCGCATCTAACCAGATTGTGAGTGCTGGGAGGACTATAAATTTCTAAAATATGGAGACTTTGGGAATTTCCATTTACTGAGTCACTTGCTCCCTTTATTTTATTTAGTGCAAGGTATTCTTTATTTTCAAATTTATAATCTAAAGTCATAATATGGTAAACTACTCTTAAAACTGGTAAAATGAAATCAGAATCAATACAGTTAATTTTAGATTATGGATTAGCGTTACCTACCTTACTAAATCGACTCATCTTCCATAACGATTCCTTTATTTCTTTTGTATTTACATGCAGTGGAATCATTACAAGTCTTCTACTTGCTAATCTTTCCTAAAATGAAAATTTAGATTGCTCTAATGACTTTTATGTTTTCTAATGAGTTCTTTCTGCATTTACAAATAAAATTTCTGGATGAGAGTGAGTTACCATTTACATAAGCAACAACTTGTATAAACAGTAACCCACATAAACAATGTTTTATCAGACGAATTCTTGAAATCTGTTCTTAAGAGTTTCATAAATCTTTCCAGTCATTATAAAAGTTTGGTAAGAGAAGAAATAACTTAATATCTTGCTGGTTTTTTTATATGAAATTATATTTGGCTCAGAATAAGAATTAATTGCTTTAAGATGATTTTGTTACTCGCGCAGCCCATAAGTAAAGGATCTGCTGTCATGAACAGATTTGCCTCATTCAGCTGTGAGAAAACTACTCAAGGCTATAGATATAATTTATAAAGCCATAACATAATTTAAATTTTAGAAAAAGTTTAATAAAGTGCATGGTTTTTGAGAATGACTACATATAGTATTCGGTAAACTGTTCCTGGAATAGTTAATTTCATTCTTAAAAGAGCACACTTTTGAATTGCTTGATAATCTGTAAAAAAGGATTAACTATTGGAAAGCTGCATCCAAGGGTGTCCCATACAGAGGGCCTTCAGTCAACGGATCTAGTAATCTAGACTATGTCTTCCGATTCCGAGCGTTATTCAGTTAACTTAAACCTATGAACCTATTGTCGTTCCATAAGAAGAATCCAATTCTGAATGCCTTAGATACGGATGTCATCCTTATAAACTCAATATTATAAGGATGACATCCTGCATCCGTATCTAAGGCATTTCAGAATAAGTCTGTCAACACATTTAAAGGCGTAAGCGACCTGAGATGATACCACTTCAAAATCCTTCATCACTTCGATCATATGGGCAGGATTATAGCCAGTCCCGTGGGTTTACCAAATGCAGCAATTTAAGAATCTCTGTGTAAAGGCAGTTAAATCTATTGGGCGATAAATAACGCATTGCCGCTTTTTAATATGTTCTGAACTAGGTGGTAATTATGTCATGTTTTACGGACCTGCATGAACTGTAAAGGAATGTATACAGACTGATCTCATGCAGCACACGAATAACTTTTTGCTTGGATACGATGGCTGTTGCTGCTGCTGTAACCTATGCATTCACTGTGCTGGTTGATGACCACACACGAGAACTGTCTTGCAACTGTCGCCAGTTACGTAATGTAAATGATTGTCACTTTCAGATAGCAAAATCGAAGATCCATGATGCGAACACTACGAGGACACCGAGTTTTTTATACTTCCGGTCTTTGAAAGATCTAATATTTACTTCAAGCTTTCAAATTTTTTTAATTATAGCTATCGAGAATTTCAATAAATTGAAACTATCTCTAATGACATTTACGACGTAGACGTTTAGCAGAATAGCGACTTTCCGGCATGCTTTGACTGAGTAGGGCTACCTTTTATTTTGCTTATAGTTCTACCACACATAATATTACTGATATGGCCATTTAAATGTCATATTTGTAATCTAAGGAATCTTCTTTCAAATTCGAAAAGCAATAATGATAATAAGTTCTGATGCAAAGCGCTGAGGATTTTTTCAAACTTAAAACACTCGAAGTGATTTAAACAAGTCATGGGCACCTTTCTCCGATCATGAAATTCTTTATTACTTGGTATCATGAAATTCTTTATTAACTTATAATTTAAATTATTTTATTTTCTTACTTTATTTAATGATGTAATTATCATATCTTAATAGAAGTTTACGAAAACAAAGACTGAAATAAGTAATTATATAAATTCAGCTGAAAGAAACTAGATCCAAAAGCAATAGCACTCAGAAGTTTAATGAAATTCCTTTAGCAGAAAGTTCCATTATTATTTCTTTTAAGAGTGAAAGTCAGTATTGGTTTTTAGTTTCAATGTAACAGTGGAAAATATGCCTATGTCGATTTCCTGATGGATTTTAGTAGTTCGCGGCTTTCGAGTAAGAAATTAATAGGCCATTGCTTTATAAAAATTGTTACTTTTATTAAAATAATAATCGAATCATTATTTTAGGATTTTTCAGTTTGAAAACATTTTGATACATACTTCTTTCTTGATGATTTTTTGTCTTCTTGCCGCTTCTTCTGCTTTCATTTTCTGAAGAAGTCTTTCTCTGTAACCATGACACATTAGTGCTTTCATGTCTTCAGTTTCACTGAAAAGTAATTTATATTATGAAGATGTTATCTTAGAGATTTCGTCCTAATAATTAACTACCTCAGTATATAATTTTGGATATACTCCAACTGCGCGAATCAAAATTCTCCCCCCCCCCCGTTTGCCTACAGGGTTACATTTTAACTTTTCGAAGCCAATTGTAGCCAAGAGGAAAATAAAAATAAAGGAATACAATTTATATCGACAATCAGAAGAACAAGTAAAGAATATCTAACAAGCACGCTAATTACTTGAATAACAGTAATAAATTAAAGAGCTAACAAAGAAAATTAAAGGTATTGGTAAAATACATATCAGCATTACAAACATTTCTTTAACTACAATATTAGAGCAAAGAGTATTATAATAGTATTATGAATTAAATAATTATAAAGCATACCAATTATATTTTTTATAAATTACACCAATGTCTGAATAGTTCACTGCCAATTAGTTAAAGTGTAAAGAAAACATCTTAGCATGAAATCTATTATAACAACATTACTATGCGTTTGGAACACTGACGTATGAATTGTAAAAAAATTTAAATTATTATGCTAAGAAGTGTTTTCTAAAATTTATCTAGAAGGAAAGAATTAAGATAACAGTACTGCAAACTAATGTAATTAATCAGGCCTCTCAGTAAATAAAAGCTTATTTTTTTAACCAAAAACTAAAAATTGGGATGCAAAAGTTTGTGTAATATACTTGGAAATATCTGAACATATAATTAATTAGAAACGTACAATTAAATTAATAACAAGCTAATTAACAGTAACATTAAGCTTAATTTCATTCAAGCTAAAACAAACAATCGATCAGGAGCACCGCATAACTGAAGTTTTATTGCTATTTTACGTAAATTTGCGTATAAAATAAAAGTTGCATTTGTGAAACACGTGTATAATGTGAAACATGAATTAAAATACAGTGATTAAAAATATGACTATCTGCTAGAAGGTATGCATAGTTGCCATAACTAGAGAAATTAAATGATTATAGGAAACTCATAAAGTTGAGCGCTACAGTGTGAAAAGAAAATTCTGGAATAAACATTTTAAGAAAGCTAGAGAAATAATCCGTAATTTATTAATATCCGTATAAACTCTATGCTTTTGGAAATAGTTAAATATAATTTGCATCCAGGTATCAATCACAGAAACCGAGTTAATTTCTTTCCTTATTTTTCCTTATTAGAGGGATTTGTAAAGAGATATGCTAAGGTAAAGGTGCAAATTTTTGCAGTATTTTTAAAGAATAAATTTTAAAAGTATTTTTACTTCATGAACTGAAATTTTTACAGTAGGTTTTTCCATAGTAAATAAGTATTGGAAAAGAGATGGGGAATCTCTGGGATGCGAGTCGAAATACCTATGTATAGTGATTTTTCCGCTTGATCGTAAGACCTTATGAAATTAGGCTGATCAATATATTAAAGAAAATAGAAGATACACCACATGTAAGAACAAAAGTGGGCTGAATTATAGATTTCCATGTTTTCTGAATGAGTTAAATTTATTTGTATGCCATTATGAAATATTAGGAATGTAGCATAAAGCATCAAAAGAAGGCAGTGGCAATCTAAATCATTGTAATCTAAATGTATATGATTATCAATATCTGCTATTAATTTTAATACTGCTGAAAAAATTATAAATGTATTATATTATAAATCACATGAACTCGTTGCATTATAAATTACAACAGTTAAAATTATTATTAGCGTGATTTGGCGACCATCTTTGTTTACAAATAATTAATTTTAGAAATAATTAAGCCTGAAACTAGACTGGAAAATAAGCTGCATGCTGAAGATTAATCTTTACCAAAGTGTTAGAAACATCTTCTGTTAACTAGAGATATGATGCAAGACTTTATAAAAATTATTATTTAAATTTTAATTGGCATAAATACAATACAAAATATATAAATTCTACATACATGAAAACTTGAATACAGCGCAACAGTATGTGGAAAAGCAATGGATTAAAAGGGAACTGAAAATCTTAAGATATGAATATAAGGGAGTTCGAACGTTTTCTGTTAATTATGAAAATTCTGCAGACGCTCATAATTATCAATTTATTAATTAAATGTGTATTAGAAATTAAATGTATGCCAAAGTACATCAGGTAGAGTAACTGGAAAACAGAATAAATATTTAAACGTTTCTAATATTAAAATACGTAATTTGTAAGAAAGTTAAATAACTTCAAAATAACTTCAGTGATTAAAAACGAAAACTTAATAAGGCGTACATTGCAATAATAATTATGTGAATTTAGAACCACTTAAGAAATCCGATTTTTAGATTTAATAAAGAGAATTTTTTAAATAAAATTAGAACTGTTTACCTAAAGTGGTAAATTTGAAAGTTAAAACCATTATGCTATCTAAGGAGATTTGTTAATATTTATCTAGACAAGAAAATTTAGTTGAGGTGCGCTACAATTCCGATATTTAATAAGTTGATTATGCATTAGTTTTATGCATGTCATAAATCTAACAATTTTATTATTCAAAACTGATATATATATATTAGCTAAAATCTACAACTTGTAAAGTTTTTAATTCATACAGAGAATAACAAAGATCTGGCTCATTATTCTTTTAAGCATCATAAAACTTTAAAATGAGTGCAAAGGAAATTCATTTTTACTTTAGCCCACGCCAGATTTTAAATTAATATTTGTATGCGCAGTTGTATGCGCAGTTTTTACAATATCTGATAAACGAAAATAGAGGCTTGTAGTCTCAAAATGTTGGCGATATATGACTTTTTGTAGCACCCATCTTTTTGGGAATTCAAGTTCTTAGAAAGAGGGAACAGGAAAAAGTTGCGCAGCTCGTGGATCAGGTCAAATTTATGTGGAAAAAAATATTTTCACTGTGAAATACTTCTTCGTTTTATAACTAACCGATTATTTTTAAGATGTAAGCAAGATTACTTAAGTAGAGCTATAATGTAGTTCGAAATTTATAATTATTTATTTATGTGCTAATTCCAAATTTATAATTTTTTATTTATTTATTTATTTTTTTTTTTGCGTCTATTTATTTGTGTGCTTGGAAATGAAAAAAGAAAATGTGCGAATTTTTTTTCTCTTTTGCTTCCTTTTAAACAATCTTTACTATTCATCTATTGAACCCTTTTTCTCCTGTCGCAAGTCATGAACATGTAGTAAATTTAATTTTATATACGTCATCTGAGTTTAAAGGTTTTTATCCTTGTTGAAATTCATTTATTCTTAATTTCCTTTCTAGGCCTGATTAAAAGAGCCTGTGACCCTGGTCATAATTTATTGTGGGAGCGTCTAACCTCCATTTTCCTTGATTCATATGTAGGGTGATTCGAAGGGCACTTTAAATTTGTTCCTCTAGGAAGCTTGCAGTCCTAAGTGATATTCTGCGTCCAGATCTTTCATTAATCATAATATCTGCATTTTCAACTTTCGGGTTTTTGTTAAAATGTTCAAAGATATTCAAAGTGTGCATACGATTTTTTTAAAAGCCGTTATATACAGTTTCTCACGAGGAATTCATAACATGTTCGTTGATAGTTCATTCCTTCATTGCCGAAAACCTTATTTAGAATTTTCCAGTTAATGCTATTTTTCAGATGCGTCTAATGTTATCTCGAGTAAATAAATGTATTGATACGACATCCAGATTGACGCATTAATTAATGTGTGTAATTAAATGTGTTTTTCCATTAATTATCGTTCAAGTTATCGAATTACATGTCTTTCTGTAATTTTTTCCTGTTTAAAAAGAATAACGTAATTTATTCGATAGTAACTGAATAAGAGTTCGTGATAACAGTATTGCTAGATGCTTCACTAAATTGACTTTTAAAAACTAATTCCTTAAGTACTGTACGTGCATTTCTTTCGGACTGGTTCTAATAAACGTTTCAATAGTATGCCAAGGATGATAACGTTATTCATGAAGAAATATATTATAAATATTTATAACTAAATATTATAGACCATCTAAGATTTTAAAGAGTTAAAGTGATTCTTTTAATTTTACTTGTTTGCAGAAATCTGTAGGCAATTTTTGGAGTCTTTGAGGTAGTAATAATGCCTTAATTAAAAGGCTGAAAGGCAAATGCAAAAGTTTTTGTGAAAAGAACTTGTAAAGAAGACTTAAGTGATGATCTTCCTATACTCCTTGGAAAGCTTTCATAAAATTATGTACTTGGGTTTTGAAAGTTTTATAAGACGCATACCCATTCAGATTACACAATTCAACAACAGCATAATGGTATACGAATTTAATTTATAAATAGCCTTTCTTAAATTTAAAGACTAGATAAAACACATCTTGTGTAGTTTGTAAGCCATTATATCTGAAGCTTGCCTGAAGCATTATACCTGAAGCTTACAAAGTTTGAAAGACAATTTTAACTTTTCACTAGATATAAATGTACAGTAAAACTGCTTAACTGAGTGATACTTAACTGAAACACTGAAAAACGTTGTTTACACACTGAATCAATAAATTTAAAAGCTACTAAAATCAGCCTAAATTTAAATAGTCTTCTCTGTGTGATTATTCAAAGGTAAATCCGAATGTAAACGAGTGATCTCAAAACGCTTATGCGCAAGCAGTGAAATTCGTGGAAATTTCAATTACGATATGTTTCGTACGAAATGATTCTCTGAAAGCGAATTATCAAAAGCAAAAATATCAAAAAGTATTCTATCATCGCTAATTTGATTGATGAAAAGGTTATCAGGAAATAGAAATTTATGGTTAGTTATGAAATATAACAAGCATGATGTAAGTTGTGTCTTTTAACGGCATGTCTTAATAATTATAATAATTATACTTAAATTCAGTTTGACAACCCGTAGATAAGAATGGCAAATTTTGGAAGCTTTTACCGTAATGAAGGAATTTAATTACGGATTTTTTTATTAAACTGTGTTGTGCCAAAACTTCAGATATTGTTAATTCATGATTGCAATCATATTTAAATTTACTTCGCCCTTTAGTTAGGATAAACATGATTTTACTACAATATATTAACAAGTGTCTCAAGCAACGGATCGCAAAATTTTGCTGTTACCTAAATAAAACGCATGATAAATAAACTTTAGAAATAGAACACAAGGTTCGAATTCAGCAGCTATTTCGTCTTTTCTAATATAGCAAAAAATTACGTGCCGTCAAAAAGAGAGATAACCAGTGGAATACATATTCCTTTACTATTACTAAGATATAAATTCTTACTTGAGGTTTGGCACCCACTACCGGCCGAGCGGCGAAGCCGATGAATACTGGTAGTTCGAATTCTGGCAAACGTGGTTGGCTGCATGGGCGTTTTCGTGGTCATCTCCATGTGTAACGTGTATACGAGACAGTTCCCTTAAAAAGTCCTCTACAAAGGCATCCCTCCGTAGGCAGATAGCTCTCCCGTGCTTTGCCACAATCACATAAAAACGAAACTAAACCAAACGTACTTGGGGTTCAGTCGAGACCTTCTGCTTTATTTCATTATCAAGATAGGTGTTAGGGATACGTTAATTTAGGTTCAAGTTGAGACAGGTATAGCAGAAATTCCAGCCACCAGTTTAAATAGAAATTATAAGAAAGTTGGCTCTCAACTTCTATAGTGTGGTAATAATGCCCTCATATATGCAGTGAAGGTTCCGGAATCAAGTCCAAACTAATATTCAGATATTACAAGCTAATTTTCAAGTAGAGTTACTTCATTGTAAACAAAAACTCCAATGAAGTTTGCACTCTTCTTATAGTATATATGCGGCTTAAGTGTTTGTCGCCGATAGTTTATTGGTTGCTTGCGTAACTGTAAATTGTTTTATTCCCCGTGCAGTGCAGCGCGTGACGAATATTATGAGAAAGCTAAGCTGGAAAAATTAAAAATATAAGAGCACGTGTATTTAACATTTAATAAACAAATTTAACATCTGTTTGTCGCCGATAGTTTATTGGTTGCTTGCGTAACTGTAAATTGTTTTATTTCGCGGGCAGTGCAGCTCGTGACGAATATTATGAGAAAGCTAAGCCGGAAAAATTAAAAATACAAGAGCACGTGCATTTAACATTTAATAAATAAATTTCACATCTATATATAATAGAATTCGGAAATATGCAACCGGCAAAAACCGGCAACGATGGAAAAAACAAATAAAATGAAATAAATAAATATCTTTATTATATGCGGCTTAAGTGTCTGTTTGTCACCAATAGTTTATTGGTTGCTTGCGTAACTGTACTAGTCAATGGGGTGAAGTTGCCATGGCACAGGGTTACCGTTTCAATTGAGACGTAGACAATTTCCTGTAAAACTTGCCTTTACTATGACCATCAATAAGTCTCAGTGCCAAACGCTTAAGCGTGTTAGCATTTTTTTACCTGAGCCTACATTTGGACACGGTCAACTTTATGTTGCCTGTTCAAGAGTTCGTGAAAGAACGGACGTAAAATTAAAAATAATTCATGGTCCTCTGCAAGGTGAGCTTAAAAATGATGGAAACATCTACAAAAGAAATATTGTGTACAAAGAGATCTTTGACATGTGAATTAACATTTTATTATTTAAATCACCTTTATTTATTGAGCTAGCGGTGGCTCTTAAGAAAGTGGTTTCCTTCATTGCGCGCTACATTAAGCAATTAAGCAAGTAGAAGGAGGAAACCTCGTGGGGCAGTGAGCAAAGGGACGTCCACGCCGCTGGCCCTGGGTAATTCAGTTTGAATTAGCATACACCTTTTCACAAATCATTTTAATTACAATTTATAATATCTAGAACAGCGGCCATTTCGTATGACCGCCGGGATTTCTAGTAATTGTCTTAAACAGAATATCATGTAAGGGATCTGTTAATACATAGTTACACTTGTTAATTTAGCTACAAATTTATGCAAAACTACGTTTAATGAGATGAATATGATTGTTCAGGATGTGCAGTGTAAGGTGTATTTCCAGAATAAAGTAATATTTTTGTTAATAGCAGTCTAGCTGATAGTTTAGAAAAAGTAAAATATTAGGAAAGACACTTTTTATTACTCTCATTAATTTATTTATTTGTATTACTTCTTTATTCTACTTATTTGTTTTTTGTCTAGTTATGTATGTTTTTATAATTTTGGAGAATATTAACGAAGTAAGTTTTAAAAAATTTTACTGACCTTGATGATTTTCCAAATGTGAAATCCGGAACTTTGTTAAGTTTGATTCTTCTGTAAGAAATTTGATCGTTTTTAGGGCAGTCCTCTTTGCCGCCCTTCTTAACCAGCAGCCTGCTGTCGGGCCAGTTACACAAGGCTTAAAATGAAAATGATTAGAAATGAAAAATGCCATTAGCTTTTAATTGTTAAACATACGTAAGTGGATTAAAAAAAAAAGGTTACGAGCATCTGCATTTGAAAAGTAGTTTATTGTGAAGGGAATACTTTATCCCCAGAGCGCAGGCAGATGGCCCTAGTTGTCTAGCAGCAGTTGTGCGAGTAGCTACAGTATGTTTCCAGACGTACCAAAGCGATTGAAATTGTAAGACGTTTTGAAAAGTGGTCTCGCTTGGAAGTGCGAGCCGTGATTCGTTGTCCTGATCGAGTATCTGGTTCGTGGCTATACCATTATTGCCGATTGTTATTGTGTGACTTAGACAAGGTTACGTGAAGTCATTTGACATAAGCGCCCTGGCATGTTGAGTGATAGTATTGTCTTCTTGCATGGCAATGCCCGGCCCGAAACTGCTCGCCCCAACTCAATAATTCCTGGAAAAGTGGCAAGTGTGGAGTCAACCCCCCATGTAGCCCAGGTTTAGCACCCAGTGACTATTTTCGTTTTCTGAAATTGAAAGAACTTTTATCTGAAATGAGATTGTCTTCAGACCAGTGATGTGAAAACACCCACCGAGAACTGGCTCAGTGAGTAGGGACGGAATTTCTACAAAGCCGGGTTAAGCAGGTTGGGTGCTGAATTCAGAAAATGCCTAAATAGATTTAGGCAAATATGCCTCTTTATTCCCTTTTGTATTTCCTGTCTGTTATTAATAAATAATTTTTTTATTACCCTTGTAACCTTTTTTTTTGATCAAATCTCGTATACTCAAAAAAAAAAAAAAAAAAAAAAAAAAAAATTGCATGAAGAGTATCCATCTTATTTTGTATTAGATATATTCTTGATTTTGTTTTACATCTGTTATTGATTCATGTGGTTTCTATTCTCGAAGAATTAGACGGAATAAAAGGATAAATAATTTTTGGTTTTCATTGAAATATTATTAAATAAGATATAAGGTATTTGTCCCGCCTTCCTATCGTGCCTTCGTGGTGTAGGGGTTCTGCACGCTGGGCCGGTATCCAGAGGTCCGTGGTTCGATTCCCGGCGAAGGCGATTGCTTATTTTTCATCTCTCCGGCTTTTCCAATTAACCTAATGTCTGCAAAGACATAAATTATTTTTAAATTGAATTTTCTGTACCTCACCTTATGTGCTATAGAAAAAAAAATTTTTTTTACCTTTTATGCAATCTTGAAATGTGCAATCAAAATATTTGTTATTTATTTTAGGTCGTCATTAATTTATAAACAGTGTACCTTACTTTTGAGTACGGCGGACTAACGAAGGTAACTAAGAGCATGAACTCTGAAAAATTAGTTAAAATGAAAACGAATGATGGCTTTAAATAAAGGAAATTATTGATAAGTATGTAAAAGGAAAAGAAAGAAGAAACATAAATAATAATAATTAAAATTACTGAGAGTTAGAAAAGGCATGAGTATCCTTAAACTGTAGATTCTCTATTGAAAGAGAGTCTTTTATTGAAATATTTTATTGTTTATTTAATAAAATGTATTGTTCTTTTTACCTATAACAAATCAAATTTACGTAAACAAATTTGGTATAGATTTTGCCCAATTTCTTTACAAATTGAAATACGCGTATTCTACTTTCAATGTGTTTGCGCTTTCATTTAAAATAGTATTTCAAAATTTCTAGTAGAACTGAATATTACGTTTCTACTGACAGTTATAAATTTATTTACTAAATGTGTTAAATTTTAAAGCTTGTCTTTGAATTTTTCAGATATACGCTTTATTAACAATATAACGTATGAGAACTGGTAAGTACCAGCAAATGGACTCCACTTCGCCGCTATTAAAATTAAGTACACATGATATATCAGCAAAGTTTCGAGATTGCTGGCAAAGCCTGTAAGTATCTGTCTGGTAATATAGCAAGGAAATGAGCTGTAATAAGTTTTTGAAGCTACCTTGTTAAGATGGCCAAGGACAGTATTGAGAAATCCTGTCCTTGCCAACGAGCCGGCGGGCGCTTCAAATCGAGCAAGGATTTTTGTCCTCTCATCTTTTCCTTCTCGATCAAAACTGTTCAACTGCTATTTATTCAAAATTCTCATCCGACTGTTTATTCCTTCAAAGGTATTCTCTGAAACACACTTAAATTGCGAAGCATTTAACTACTTTTAACTATACATTATTAAAGCCGCTGAAGTATCAATTAGTTGTCTTCGAAATGATTACTTCTGTGATAGTAGATCAAATATATTCGTTAAAACAAAGACTGTAACAAGAACGTCTGTAAAGTTTAACCCCTAAATGCATAAATAAAAATTCAAAAAGTGGTCTTTTTTAAAATTCATCATTTTTATTCGTTTTCTTTTCTTTCTTTCTTTTTTTTTTAACTGGAATTCGTAGTGGGTATACTATATTCTGTAGTATTCTTCATATCTCTCTCTGTGTGTGTGGGGGGGGGCGTCTGAACGATTTCAGATTTTATATTCCCTCCAAACAGAAATTTTTAAAATTTACATAAACATACACGTTTCGAGAGCATTTGGGCTAAAAATATTTAAAAACAGCATATGTTCAGAATTTTCGATATACAGTCTCGCGCGCTGGAGTTCAAAATGTTTTATTCCCTACATTGTTGCCATTGGTCGCTTTGAAATTGTTGAGTTTTTTAATAAAAAATTCATTAAAGTTTTACAAAACATGAAAAAGACAGCAAAAGAAATTCGAAATTCCAAAATCGGGTTTCCAGGTGTCCATGTTCGGGTGGAGGACTACATCATTCGGAATTTGAACAGAGTATTACTCTTTATTTTAAATCTTTACATTTCATGTAAACAATATAGCTAGTTTTGTAAACGAACCTAACTATTCTGTTTTGGATACACTGGTACCTCGGTATAACGTTTGCTTTGAAATACAGCTAACTTGGTATACGTCGTGTTTGCGCGCGAAACGTTTCTTTGGAATGCAACGTTACAACTGCCCATAAGCGTCATTACGCCTGTTGCTATTATCAATAAATAACCCACTTAATAACTCATAATTTTCAAGTGATCTGTTCTTTTGCAATTATTTTTTTCAAATTCACTAACAACGAGTTTTAAGAAAGTTCCCGAGAAGCGTCAAAGAAAGAAAATTATTAAGAATGTTGAAAAGTTTCACGACGGCATGTGTATTTTTGAACTCAAATACATACCAGATGTACATTCCATTAACAAACGTGAACTGCCAGATATTTTCAAGTATAATTTCAATGAGTAATCTGAATTCCTGAATTTATTTTAATATTTTTTCATTTCTATATTGTCTTTACATCATCAACAATTATGTTCATGTAAATGTCATTATCTGTACAAGTAAAATAGAAGTTTGTGAAAAGACAGAGAAAAAGCTTAATCACGTCTTAGCAGATGGTAGAAAATGCTTTGTTCACATGTGGTTCATTCTTATATAAAAGAGTTTTGGAAAATACTCTTGTCAAGATAAATTATTCAGATTTCTGTACATAAAAGAAGGAAGAATAGGATATATTATTATTTTTTTATTAATTTTTTTACCTTCTTTGACACTTCCAGCTGGAATACCGCTGGGGCTGCCATAAGTAAAACTAGATGTCGGTAATTTGCACAAAGGATTCTTTTGTCGACCAGCATCAGGCTGAAAAAAATTATAATGTTTGAATTTTTAAAATAAACTCAGTCAGAAAACAAGGCAGTTATAATATATCTTCCGTTCTACCTGGCTAATTAAAGAAATTCAGCATGCGTTTTTCATGTCTTGAAATCGCGATTTAGGATATATATATATATGTCATAATGAAAATCACAAGGAAAAGAAAAAGACAGAACGTTTCAGGCTGCAGGAAACTATCCTTACCGGCTTAATTGTCATAATGAAAATCACAAGGAAAAAAAAAGACAGAACACTGTCGATGCGTAGTTATCCTATATTGAAGAGGAAGTAATCTGATTGCGTCGTAAGCTAATGTGTTGACTTCGTAAATAAAACTGGCATAGAAGCGATTTTAATTCCATTTTTATTTCCAATTGATAGTGTGTTTTTCACAGAAATTTTACATTTTTGATATTGTTAGATAGAAACAGCCAGCGAAATTACATCTAGCACAGCAGAGAGCAAAAGCTGAAGTGCATTTATGCAAGATGGAGGCACGCGAAGAGAAAAGTTTTTGGTTTCAAGGACTTTCAGTTCCCAATGATTAGTCATCAGAGCTGAGCCGATCATAGAGTGATCTAGAAATAACGCAATGCAAAGAAGTTATTACGATTTTAGAATAGAGAGGAAGAATTAATGTTTATAGTTTAATCTATATTTTGTTCATATTTTTATCTACATATTCCCCCCCCTTCAAAAAGAAAAAGGCGTAGCGACAGAGAAGCCTTTTTAAAGAAAAAGAGTTAAAGCATAGCAAATAAAAAGAAAAACAAATCATAAATTTTGATTCTATAAAAGTATAATTTATAAATATCATTTTTTAAATAATTTTTAAGTAGAGTCCTATTGAATTTTCAGCATTTCAGTCCAAAAGGCTTTTGTTTGGAGTTCACATAATCAAATCTTCAGGGAAGGTTCGGTTATACGAATATCACAAAAAACTTTACAAATCAGACGGATAATTAATGTAATCACATAAATATTTATATAGATTTTCATAGTGATAAATTATATTTCCAATACCATATAATAATAGGAGTAGCCTTCAGAAATTAGGTTTCACACGAAAGCTCGCAATACTAAACAAACATATCCATCAATAGGCTGTCCTCTTTGAGCTAACCAGTGTGTTCTCTGCACTGGTAGCCCAGGGTGCCTAAACAGTTACTTGAAAAGGCCTCCGTTCCTTGCATTAAGGTAACTGGCCTTTTGAGAACTGCACTAATACATTCCTAATAAAAAAATATAATAATATAATATAAAAATTTACATGCATTCATAAAATGAGAGCCTTATTTGCAAGGGTAAAAGTGTGAAGGAACAACTGTACAGGGTAACAACCCTGTTGAAAGAACCATACACCCTCATCTACTATACTTAACACACATACCCCATAATTTTAACATGCATTTTACCATAATTTCATATTACTATCTGTAATAATTTCACTTATTTTTTACACCAACTTCATTTTTAGAATAATTATAAAATTCGTATTCAAAATTCTCAACAAAATTTCAAAAACATAAAAACTTATCTTAATATCTTCCCTATGAATAAATTTAAATAGCTTAAAATTCTTACTTAATTTGCTCACACATAGTTATGAAAAATTAGAAAAATAATGAACAGAATTTCAGATTTTCTCAAAACAAATTAACAGAATTTTAACCAAAGTTGAAATAAAACTATAGAATTCGCAGCATATTAAATGAATTTAGTTTTTGAGTAGAGTCACACGAATGTAATAATTTTTTGAGCTGTTGAAAAGCAGAAGCGCAAATAATTTTCTGTCGCACATACTTGCAAACACTAACTCGGATCGACCTTGAACCCGCTGTAATGCTTAAATTCCTAAACTGTAATTCACTGATGATTTCCTTTCACTAGGCAATCGAACTTCTCAATTTATCGAGATATTACTTTCAATCTGTAAACACTACGCGTGATTATTTTTTTGAAGCACTTGCAAAACACCACAGCAGAAGAATGATCTGTTCACTGATCACTGAAAAAAAACAAACTTGATGATTCACTTATTTCACATTATCTTGGATTTATCACAAAACGATGATTTGAAGAGCTGAATTAAATTTTCCATTGAGGTTTCAGGCTGCAGGAAACTATCCTGCCGGCTTAATTGTCATAAAAGTAGCAAAGGAAATGACGGAACAATGTAGATGCGTAGTTATCCTATATTGAAGAGGAAGTAATCTGATTGCGTCGTAAGCTAATGTGTTGACTTCGTAAATAAAACTTGGCAGTAGAAGCAGTTTTAATTCCATTTTTATTTCCAATTGATATTTGTGGCCACCATCACTTGGCTCTCTAGTCGTGCCTTCCACAGAAGATTTACATTTTTGATATTGTTGGGATAGAAGCAAGCCAGCTAAATGACATATTAGCAGAGTAGAGGGCCAAAGCTGAAGTGCTTAGTTATGAAAGAGGAAGCACGCGAAGAAAAGTTTTGGTTTTCAGGACAGTTTCAGTTCCCATGATTACGTCATCAGAGCTGAGCCGATCTAGAGTGATCTAGATATAACGCAAATGCAAAGAAGGTTATTACAATTTAGAATAGAGAGGAAGAATTAATGTTTATATTTTAATCTATAATTTTGATTCATATATTTTTATCTTACACATATATATATATATTAGATTTGTATACAGCGGTGTTCTAACATACGTATTTTGACGCAAAATCGGACTATTCCTGAAATGACATGCCGATGTTTATTTTTATATTTGGATTCTACGACTCAATTTACGTCTTAAAACCAAATTTTATTAAATTTGGTATGCAATTTAATCAGTAATTCGGAAATTTACCTTGGCGCACATTTTTTACTTTGGGACAAGAATGGCGAACTTTTCTGTTTACGGTAATCTATCTCAAATTCCGTTTCATTTTCAGCTAAAGGGAATTTTTTTTCTCTTTCTTGCATATATTTTAACTAGTTGCTATTTATTTATCTATCTATTTATTTATTTTTTGTTTTTAGAATTTTATTTTAATTATTTGAATTGCGTGGTTGAATTATAGTTCTTCAAATAGCTATTTAAAAATTTTCTATTTATTTTTTAGCATTGTGTACTTAAAGCATGTTCTTGTATATATATAAGAGAAAGAGAAAAAGTAATAAGAATCAGATTTACAAAGACATTAAAGAAATAAAACTCAAAACCAGTGAAATCTAAAATTCCCTATAACTATGTAAAAAATACTATCAACCAATTGTCAACAAACCAAAAGAATTTTAGGAAACTACAGGCATGTGAAATATACAACTTTTTGTGTTATTTACAATTTTTGTTTGTAAATTACACGAAACTTTTACAAATTACACATTTTTTTAAGTTACCTTTTTTTTGTGAGTGTAATTTACAGTTTTTTTTTTGCATATCTGTAGTTTTCGGAAGTTCTTCTCGTTTTCTGACAGTTGGTTGATATTTTTTACATATTTACAGAGAATTTTAGATTTTACTGGCTCTGTATTTTATTTCTTTGATGTCTTTGTAAATTTGGTTCTAAATTTCTTACGTTTTGTCCATAATTGTTTAATTTTCAGCAACATATTGTCCGTAAATAATACTATTTGTTATACAGATTTATATATAAATGTAAATATATATAGAGATTGTAATTCGATTTTTTTTATTTGAATAGCACTTCTTGCGAAAGAATACTTTGTCGCCCAGTATACGTCACGATGCCTTTGAAAACTGTATTAAAAGAGAAAATACTGTAAAGCACGATTAATAAACCTTTCAGTGGGTCATTTAGAAAACATACATAAATAAGAAAGTTGTATTACTTACATTGTAATTCAGAAAGATATGATACAAAAAATTTTCCATAATTTTATCACTATACCATTCCTTTACACAATTTTACCCTTCTATGGCTTGTTTGTTAAAATATTACCCATATTTCCGAATAAGATCACATTTTTAATTTTTTAAATAGTAAAAATCAAATAGCATAGCATATAAAAAGACAACATTTTATGCAAGTAAATGAATAAATAAATAAAAATAATTAGAATAAATAAATAAGTATTTCACGTTTTTAATGTTTTAATTTTTTTTTTCGTAATGGTTATCCTCATGAAAACCTTTATGCCTTAACGATTCTTTTGAGGCATGCTACAGATATATCCGCAATCATCTTTCCTTTTTTATTCGCTATGTATACTCAATTTAGTTTATGCGATATTTAGCTTTGTATGTATTTAAACTGAGAGTTTTGAATCTGTAGTTGAGAGAGCTTCTGAGATTAGCGTCTTGCTGTTAATATTTTTAAGCTGCTCTCTTTAAAAATAATATTCCGGCAATAGCATTCTTGCTAGAGGATGCTTTAAATACGAGCCGGTAAAATACATGAGGCAGCTTAATCTGTTTAAAATGTAATGCTTTTTTCTCGCGTCTTTAGCTTAAAGAATAACAAGTGAACACAACAATAGCAAATGTAATTGAACGTTCATTTACACTACGGCTTAGTAGTTTAAAAAGTAACGCGTTAACAAAACTCTGCTGTTTGTGCCTGAGAGCATAATACTTTGAGTATTTGCAATTCAAATAGTAAATTAGAATCTGTAGGATTGTTTTAAATAACCATTTTATTAGCCCAAAGGGGCGTTAGCCCAGAAGGGCTATTAGTCTCGAAACTGCATTTTGAGTCGAATCACTATAGAAAACTTGATACAGCAGCTAAACTTTATTATTACGAACTTAAATGGACAGAAAGTTTGGTTTGCTAAATCCGATCCGGTAAGAAAAATGGATTGTCTCAAAAAGAAGTTAAAAATTATGCATAAACAATAACTGATGAATTGAGGGGAAAAAAGTCAGATGAGCCTTTTTCACATGGACCAAAAAAAAAAAAAAAAAAAAAAAAAAAAAAAAAAAAAAAAGAAAATACCTCTAAATTTTTTTAAATATTATATAATTATAATTATTATTCTATGCAATTGTTATTATTATTATCAGTTATTATTAAGTTCATTTGGTCTCTGTTCTTTTTCCAGTTTAGCTATACGTCTTACACGATAAACTAGTAAGATATTTTCATGCCTTCGAGGTGTAATTTGGAGCACGTCAGGCTAGCAATCGGGAGGTCCGGAGTTGAAATCCAGGCGAAAGAAGTAGCTCCTTTTTCATGTTTTCTGCTTCGAAAAATATAAAATAACTCTACAGTGAACCTCGAACTAAAATGTGGTAGATTGTAATTCGTCACACCAGGATTTGGGGACTGAGTCTCTTTCTCCCCAATAGCCCTTTAAGTGGAGAAGAAGGCAAGGCATTTTCGTCTTCTTTTTGCATTGGTGCTGTAACTAGAAGCACGTGGAGCAGCTGGGAGGTCTGGAGTCGAATACCGGTGAGGGTATATTTCATTTTTCTTCATCAATAAATACCTAATCGCTCTACAAATTTACTCGCATGAAAGTCATGGTTCAAATCTTCGTCACAAAATGCGCATCTCCCTCTCAAGTAAACATTTAAGATTATGAATAATCACTTTAGAGACAAAATATATGATCTGCTAAGACATGTTTTGTGTCATGGTTTTCCGAGGACTAGATATTTACTAGAATCTGATATCTTCTTCCCATAGCCTTCTTTCAGAACACACAGGAAGGTGAGGTTGTAGGTAAAAGAACAGTAACGCAGAGATATTTTTACTACATCCTAAGCGTAAGAATAGGTAATTTTACAGCTGACTAAATTTTCAGTTAAAACTTGCAGAAATTCTAGAAATATTGTTAATAAAATTTATTCTTATCGCAACAAATAAAACAAAATGCTTAAATTTCCTCAGATATTCGAACAATATTGTATTATCTTACAGTAGTTATATTTTAAACTATTAAAACGTTCAACAGAACTTAATTCAAAACAGAGAAAGCTAATTCGAATTCACCGCGAATTCTCTACAGTCATTAACAGCAATAAGTAAACAACTGGATTGAGATGTTTTCCTTCAGCTTTTTATAAGTTTTTTAAATACACAAGAAAATTCTCGTACTTTCTCGATTTTTCTGGATAATAAAAGAGTAAAATTAGGATATATCTGTTATTAAAATGTTAGATTCGCGTGCTCCTGTATTTAATTTTTCCGACGTAGCTGTCTCTTCAAATAAGTCTCGTGCTGCATTGCACGGGAATGTAAAACAATTTTAATTACAAATTCTACTAAAAATAGCCAAGCTAAATAAATACAAAAACCGTAACAATATTAAAAATATTCTTTTCCCATAGATTCAGTCGAAGATAAGCACAACGTTTTTCATATCAGATTTTAATACCGGAGTTTTCTGTAAACAACAGTTTTCTGTTTGGAGTTTTTTGTTTTTTTCCGGAAAAAACAGAAACATTCAATGTATACGAAAGCGGACGGGATCGAAATATTTGTCCATTATATCCGAAGGTTCTTTCTGAACTGGTTCTTTATATCGGAAGGTTCGCTAGGAGGTTTACCTATATTAAAATTATATTTTTTTTTTTCTGTGGTGTACGTCAGGCATGTATTATCCTTCTGTTAATAAACGGATGTAATAAGGGAAAGAGCAAATTAAATTTTTACATGGGTACGGGTTCGTAATGGATTGAATGCACACGGAACTGATGATAACTTGATGAAATTTATTTTTCCAAAAGAAACATTTTATAATTGTGGAACTTTCCACAAAAGTACTCGAACAGTTCTTCTCATAGTTTGATAGAGCACAATCAGAAGTTACCACTTCAAACTACTAAGAACACTAAAAACAACGCAGTGCATAGCGCATCTAAAGAACAAAGCTGGCTCGTAGCTCAGCCAAGACCCCGAACTCTAAACTAAAAATTCTGAAATCAAACTGAGAACTGGTGCTGTCTTTGGCCGTATATAATTTCCTCGGACCTATTCCTAGAAATTTCCAGTACCTTCGATTTCCTGAAATTGCGGTTACATACAGAGATCAGATCTATTACAGTTATACAGAGATCGGACCAAATTATCGCCAAATGGTCGCCAGGTTTGGGGTCTTTTGTCGATTTCTCTCCAACAAATTTAAACACAAAATGTGTTGGCGATAAAATATGTCACCAAAACCATTACCAGCTTGGCGCTGGCCTTGTCGATTAGGTGGATTATCTTAATTATTAAAATCTTGTCGATTAGGTGGATGGGGCTGCGCCCTATTTGTATATACCAGCTTGGCGCTATCTCGCCAATTTCGCGAAACAGCCATCTACTTCAATGTTAAATAGACCTGCCCCTGTAATCATATTTTTCTAGCCTAGTTTTGCATTTTCGTTACATTACACAGGAGATGCTACAATTTGCATATAATGTAACTAAAATTACTTACATATATACAAAATTCATAACAATACGTTGTGGTGTTGCGCGGCCCCAACCTACACGCAACAATAATAGTGACTGCTATGAACTGGAAAGTACACAAAACTCTTAAGAAGGGTTTACTCCCTTTTTCTATTTAGACTTTGACCTCCCTACGACCCGCGGTGAACTTGAAAAAAAAAAAAAAAAAAAAAAAAAAAAAAAAAAAAAAAAAAAAAAAAAAAAAAAAAAAAAAAAAAAAAAAAAAAAAAAAAAAAAAAAAAAAAAAAAAAAAAAAAAAAAAAAAAAAAAAAAAAAAAAAAAAAAAAAAAAGAAGAAAAAAAAAAAAATTAAGTTGAAAGATTCACTATCGCGGCGGCAAGCACACAGGCCGAAACGCGCGGTTCTTCAATTTCTACTACCTTCATGCTCGTGAAGCAAAAGCACACTTACGAACTCGTTCCCTTCTATTTAACTCAAATTATTCCGCTGACAATTTGAATACTTTGCGCGTTCTACTAAAATTTACATACTCTGGCATTGGCAATTCCAGGGGAAAGTAAGGCTTGACAGGAAAGATAGTTTAAACTTAAAATAAATGATAGTTAAAATAAATATAAACCCTATAACGTTGAAAAATAAAATGAAACACTTTTATAACCTTTCAACGATTATTCCGAAGCATTAGTCTTTTATGCTTTTGAAATTAAATCTTTAGAATGCAGATGAAACTTTGCTTTAATTCAATAGAAAATTAATTTTTCTTGATTAAAAAGGATTACTTATTAGCACTATAATAATTATTATATAAAAGGTGAAGTGGAAAAGCCAAGATTTAAAGGTAGAAGCAAGCTAGAAAAATTTGGAATTTTGTCATATACGAAAAGAAATTAAATTTGTAAAACTTAATAATTTGTTAATCATTACAAAATGGCTAAATTTTAAATAAATACATACATTTTGTATTTGAATAAGATTATTGTAAAACTTAGCTGATTATGACTTACTTTGTCCAAAAGACAATTATATTTCATCGTTGGCCGATATGTACAAACACCTGAATCTTCCATTTCGATCAAAACTGATTATATTCATTTAAATTATAGACAGTATTACGGATTACTTGAAACGAGATTTTATCGTAAATAACAGAATTCTATATTTTCTGCTACTGCAAAAATCTAATGACCGAAAACCGCGTTCACATTTTTATTTAGTCAAAAATAAATAATCTCGTGTTAGATTAGTGGAAATGTCTCTCAAAAAGGTTTTTAGTGAATTTGCGAAGTAATGTGTTTACGAGTAGTTTTAACGTGCTGGCTTCTTTAACAAAGAAGTTAACTTCTTTGTTAAAGCAGCCAGCATATTAAGACTTTTGAAGCATTAAAATTTATGCGTTACAAATTAAATACCTAATTTGAGAAATATTGGATTTTATCACACATATCTTTACATAAAAATCTGTTCAGAACTTCACTTCTGGTTTATCAGTATTAGCCAAGACCTAATATGTTGTTTCCACCGACATAAAAGTTTTATGTACTGAAATTGAAAATTTTTGGAATGTATTTTAATACATTTTTTTTATCTAATGGTGGGCATTTGCCTATTCGAGATTGGTAACTCTTAAGGCCAGAAGTGGTGGCCATTTTATTGTGGAGGCACCTAATAGGCATCCATCGTTGCCTCTTATGAAGGGACAGACAGTCACAGCCATGCCTTCTCCGGGATTCGAACCGGGGCCCTTTGGTAATCGGTATCCTAATAAATCAGCTTATAAGATATTTCTCTCGCCTTCTTAGTATGCCTTCGTGTTGTAAATTAAATGTCAAGAATAATGTTTGAATTGTTTTGGTCTACACGCAGAGCGCGTATTCTAGCGGTCCGCGGTTCGATTCCCGAGGAAAGCGTTGCTTATTTTTCATCACTCCTGCTTTAAAAATAACCTAACGTCTCTACAAGCTCCCCTAAACGTTATGCCATCTGGGCGGCTCATATATTTTAATGCAGTTTTTCATTAAAATTCTTCTATGTCTTCAAGTAAAGTAGCACATCTGGTTGCGCTTTAAAAACTGTTATGCGCGTGAAGTAAGTACAGCTTACATTTATTCAATTTTACCCAAAATCAAATCAACTCTTTATATGAATGCAGAAAGCTTAAATGTGAAAAATGGAAATTTTGGAAGTCTGATAAAGAGTTTAACGGTGACCAAAACATTCCGCACATACATGCATATACACAGGCAGATATCGTTATAAAAATAGTAAAAACATGTTGTAGGGAACCTATAATTTGTGGTTATTCAGTGAAAACTCACTTTGTTTTTACTTTTACACTGCTAAGGAGGACTACTGGCCGGGAACAAGTCCTTCCTGTATATTGTCCGCCCTGCAGAAGCCATAACGGCATTTATTGAGTCTAAATTGAAAACAAAATTACAGAGACATCTACATAATGGATACAAAGAACTATCTTGGATACACATGACATTCTTGATTGATAGATTTTAAAAAAAATTACTTAGAAGTACAGAGCTGCATGGATACAAAACTGGTTTGGGTAAAGCAAAATAATAAAATTCAAGACTAACATTGGAATTTGAAGACTGTAGTTATACATCATACTGACTTATTATTATACAGCTATACACGTACTACTATTCCACACATTACTAAAAAGCATATTATGTAGCACATTACTAGAATAGCATACTACAAATAAAACACACCATATACAATGCGCGTATCAGAAAGGTAAATAATTCTGTACATGAATCAAAAGAACATTAAACAATAACATTTTGGGGAAAAATCACAGTGGAAATTAGGAAGATAATATATTGTAGCAGAGCTAAGATGCTGAGTCAATTCAAAACATTAAATCCAACACTACATTTCAGTACATATTTACGCAGTTCTACAACCAAGAAAAGTCTGGTTCAAGACTACTGTTATACATCATATTTACTTACCATTATACAACATTAAACAAACTATTATACCCCACACTAATAGAAAACAAATTATCAAATACACTTAATGGAATGCTGTACATACACTGAAATAAAATGGCGAATATTACAATATGACAATCAATATACAATATGCTTATCAGAAAGTTGGCTCTGCGGCTACGAATACTTGTTAGAAACTGATACATTTTGCACAATACTAGAAACTGAAACAAAACATTTGCACCCAATCATTCAAAGAGAGATGACTACGTATGTATTTACTGTTACACCTATTTATTCTACTATTATACCTGTATTTACTATTATACCTATTTGAGAGCTCTACGTATGTATTTACTATTATACTATAAACTTTCTTGAAAGCATAACACAACGCACTTAATTCTTAACAGTTCCACACATTTGATAGTGAAAACTCACTATCGAATTTTTAAACCGAAAAACATTACCTCCCTTACCAAATTCTAACAAGATTTACGGAGAATTTTTTGTATAGAGCACATCAGGCTGAGACTAAAAATGCTCGTCATTTGCTAGAACCTCTTTTTAAATTATATAAAAATATATAGTGTATAATATTCTATGACAAAAGCGTAATAAATATATTTCCATACATTTATTTAATATTAAGAGCAGTAAATAAATAGTATTAAAAGATAAAGTATTATTCATTACTTAAATTTTAATATTATTTATACACCATCCTATTGAACATCTTTAAAAACTTAGAAAATTCAGAAATGTGCTGTTGAAAAGTTATTTATACTTAATTTTCGCGATATTATTTCGCGTGACATAGTATGTTTTCTGCGTAGTTAATTTTAAATATAACCAAAACCTATTGAAATTAGTCAAACGATGTGAATTATTGTGAATATCGAAGGTCGTGTAATGTCCTTTAACGGGAAAAAAGGTCGAACGTCAAACAGTAACAGAATTGAAGGTCAAACATCACTCATTTGCATACGAAAGAAACCGAAGGACGTGATTTCATCCAGACAGTGAGCCTAATGATTTAATTATCAGTTATTTCGCCAGCAGAAAATTACTGAATATATCATTCCTGCTTTATTATTATTATTGTATAGATCTGCTTGAAAAGGACAAGAGTTTGAAAAATATACAAAAAATATACATTGGAAGAAACCGGTAATAGTATATTTCCAGAGATACAAAGAAGTGATACCAATAAATAAATCAAGTTACTTGGATCTTAGTTATTTTAGTTTATTAATATAGTTATTTGTTAATTTATTAGTCTATTTACCTTCCGGTTAAAGAAGGTTATTCTTAAAAGGTAGCTTTATATTATTAATTTTATTTATTTCTCTTCCATTAAAGTTTAGAACTTCAAGCGTTAGTTCTCATGCATAATTTTATTGTAAAATATTTTCAGTTTTTGTCATTGTGTTGTATTCGTCTCCGTTATCATTGTCATTATATTCATATCCTTTATTTTATCAGGCAGCTTTTAGTTCGTCATCGGTAAAAGTTAATTTTTTCCCAAGCTTACAAAAATTATACAAAAATTAAAAATCTTGTTTGGTATACGACATTTGTTTGGAACATGATTCGAGGTTGATGAGTCACAACTGTGTGCAATACACTTATTGATCTCGTTCGCGGCAATGTTGCTACTATTCAGTAAATAACCCGCGCTATAACTCTTAAATTTTCAATGGATTTTTGAATTTTCAATGGATTTTTGAATTTTCTCGCTAAAATTTTTCGTAAATTCATTAACAATTAGTTTTAGGAAAGTTAATGAGAAGTGTCAAGCAACGAAGAAAATTGTTAGAATCACCACAAAAATGAAAAAAGAGGTTGTTGAAGAACATGAACGTCGCATGCGTACTTGGGGCTTGGCCACACATAGCCGTTGCATATCGTATGCTGACTATGAGGGTGTCGGCTGAGTTTATTGAGTCTTATAGAACTGACTACTTCTCAACAATGAAATAACATTTGGTAACTAAGTAGTGTATGTCATTTGCTAATTGATAGTATGGCCAAGAATGTCCTTTTTCTTCCCTACGATAGAATATGAATAGCATTTAAGAATAGCCCATATTTAATTATTTCTGCGTGATTTAAATTTGCATAACCTTTTGCTTTGAGCCAAAATTTGCAATCTAAACTAACAGGAGATAAGAAAGTAGACGATTTACAGTTTAGTTGTTAGTAGGACTTAAAACTAATTGTTAGAAACATACTTTTTTTCCAACCCAAAGGGGCGTTACCCCAGAAGCACTATTAGGTTTGAAACGGCATTTTGCGTGGAATTAATAAAAGCGTTGAATCACTTTTCATTTTGTTGCCATCAAATATTATCACCCAATATTATATTTAAAAAAAATAAATTATGAAGAATCTGTATGAACGCATGCTTGTTTTTCGCATTGTGAAAAAGCAACGGTGCATAGAGACATCAAATCTTGAGTAAAGTAATCATCCATCGAACATGGGCACTTAGAAGGCCGAATTTTGAATTTCGAACTTATTTTATTATATATTTCATCTTTTGCAAAACTTTCACGAAATTTTGATTAACAAACTCAACAATTTCAAAGCGAGCAGTGGCAACACTTTAAGGAAAAAGAACATCTTATCTCTAGCTCACGAGACTGTCTATCGGAAATCCTAAAGATATGCTGTTTTAAAATACTTTTAGCTTAATGTGGCGTTAATTTAAATGCTCTAGAAACGTGTATGTGTGTTTAAATGAGCCCTAGCCTTTGGGCATAGTATAAAATATGAAACTTTTAGATTTTCCTTCTTTTTTTTTGAGAGGGGGGAGATAATTTGGTTCAAATAATTTTCTCTAGAAAGACATATGAGCCTGTTTGCAAAGAGAAAACATATATTCATTGTCAGATCATTTCGAATGTGGCAAAAGTTTTTTTTTTAGGTTTGTTATTTAAATAAACATAGAAAGAAATAGAATACTCAACACAAGGTATGTATGCAGAAATAGAATGCTTAAAACAAAAATAATGTTGCAACAAGTAAGAAAAATGTATTTTATTTAACGGTGGCTAATAGATAACGTTGCGCATACATCTTATGATAGCTTACTTTGGTTTATTTAATTATAGCAAAACGCTACAGGTCTATCTGTGTAAGGGAAGGGATACCTTCACGGAGGATTTTCAAAGGGAAACTTTC